CAATGCCTAGTGTTCAGATATACATCCCATGATGTCCTCAATGCTTAGTGTTCAGATATACATCCCATGATGTCCTCAATGTTTAGTGTTCAGATATACATCCCATGATGTCCTCAATGCCTAGTGTTCAGATATACATCCCATGATGTCCTCAATGCTTAGTGTTCAGATATACATCCCATGATGTCCTCAATGCTTAGTGTTCAGATATACATCCCATGATGTCCTCAATGCCTAGTGTTCAGATATACATCCCATGATGTCCTCAATGTTTAGTGTTCAGATATACATCTCTTGATATCCTCAATGCTTAGTGTTCAGATATACATCCCATGATGTCCTCAATGCTTAGTGTTCAGATATACATCCCATGATGTCCTCAATGCCTAGTGTTCAGATATACATCCCATGATGTCCTCAATGCTTAGTGTTCAGATATACATCCCATGATGTCCTCAATGCTTTGTGTTCAGATATACATCCCATGATGTCCTCAATGCCTAGTGTTCAGATATACATCTCATGATGTCCTCAATGCTTAATGTTCAGATATACATCTCATGATGTCCTCAATGCTTAATGTTCAGATATACATCTCATGATGTCCTCAATGCTTAGTGTTCAGATATACATCTCATGATGTCCTCAATGCTTAGTGTTCAGATATATATCCCATGAAGTCCTCAATGCTTAGTGTTCAGATATACATTACATTACATTACATTGCATTTAGCTGACGCTTTTGTCCAAAGCGACTTACAATAAGTACATTCGACCAGGAAGACACAACCTTGAAGAAAACAGAATCATATAAGTATATCAGGTTTCATAGAGCCAAACATTTCAAGTGCTACTCAACTGGCTTTAGGTAATCCAGTCCTTTATTGGTATAAAAGTGCTTCGTTAATCGTTCTAACGCTCGAAGTGGAGTCGAAAGAGATGAGTTTTCAGTTTGCGCCGGAAGATGTGCAAGCTATCTGCCGTCCTGATGTCAATGGGGAGCTCATTCCACCATCTTGGAGCCAGGACAGCAAACCCACGTGTTTTCGCCGATGGGAACTTGGGTCCCCCTCGCAGCGAGGGCGCAACGAGTCGTTTGGCTGATGCAGAGCGTAGTGCACGCGCTGGGGTGTACGGTTTAACCATGTCCTGGATGTAGGAAGGGCCAGATCCATTCGCAGCACGGTAAGCAAGTACCAGTGTCTTGAAGTGGATTCTAGCAGTTACCGGAAGCCAGTGAAGGGAGCGGAGGAGCGGAGTGGTGTGGGAGAATTTAGGAAGGTTGAAAACCAGACGAGCCGCTGCATTCTGGATGAGCTGCAGAGGTCGGATGGCACATGCAGGTAGACCAGCCAGGAGGGAGTTGCAGTAGTCTAGGCGTGAGATGACGAGAGCCTGGACCAGAACCTGAGTCGCTTTCTGAGTCAGCTGGGGACGTATCTTCCTGATGTTGTAAAGCGTGTATCTGCAGCAGCGGGTTGTAGCAGCGATGTTTGCAGTGAAGGACAGGTTGTTATCTAGGGTCACACCCAGATTCCTTGCAGTCTGAGTCGGGGAAACAACTGAGGTGCCGATGTTGATTGTTCAGGTCAAGAGTTGGACAATCTTTTCCCGGGAGGAAGAGCAGCTCAGTCTTGTCAAGGTTGAGCTTGAGGTGGTGAGCAGACATCCACTGAGAGATGTCAGCTAGACAAGCAGAGATGCGTGCGACGACCTGGGTCTCTGAGCGGGGGAAAGGACAGAATTAATTGGGTGTCGTCAGCGTAGCAGTGGTAAGAAAAACCATGCGGGCTAATGACTGATCCGAGCGAGTTTGTGTACAAGGAGAAGAGGAGGGGACCAAGAACAGAGCCCTGAGGGACCCCCTGTAGTTAATTGACAAGGGTCGGACTCAGACCCTCTCCAAGTCACCCTGTAGGTACGGTCTTTCAGGTATGAGGTGAGGAGGGAAAGTGCAGAGCCAGAAACTCCAAGTTTTTGGAGAGTGCGAAGGAGGATCTGATGATTCACCGTGTCGAATGCAGCAGACAGGTCCAACAGGATGATGACAGAGGAGAGGGATGCAGTTTTGGCAGTGTGCAGTTCCTCCGTGACAGCAATGAGAGCAGTTTCTGTGGAGTGACCTGCCTTGAAACCAGACTGGTGCGGATCCAGAAGGTTGTTCTGATGGAGATAACAGGAGAGTTGTTTAAAGACAGCGCGTTCAAGTGATTTAGACAGGAACGGGAGGAGAGAGACAGGCCTGTAGTTTATAACATCAGACGGGTTGAGAGTGGGTTTCTTTAGGAGAGGGTTTACTCTTGCCTCCTTGAGACTGTTTGGAAAGTGACCAGAAGTTAGAGAAGTGTTGATGAAATGGGTGAGAAACGGTAGAATATCAGGAGCGATAGTCTGAAGGCATCCCATGATGTCCTCAATGTTTAGTGTTCAGATATACATCCCATGATGTCCTCAATGTTTAGTGTTCAGATATACATCTCATGATGTCCTCAATGCTTAGTGTTCAGATATACATCTCTTGATATCCTCAATGCTTAGTGTTCAGATATACATCCCATGATGTCCTCAATGCTTAGTGTTCAGATATACATCCCATGATGTCCTCAATGCCTAGTGTTCAGATATACATCCCATGATGTCCTCAATGCTTAGTGTTCAGATATACATCCCATGATGTCCTCAATGTTTAGTGTTCAGATATACATCTCATGATGTCCTCAATGCTTAGTGTTCAGATATACATCCCATGATGTCCTCAATGCCTAGTGTTCAGATATACATCCCATGATGTCCTCAATGCTTAGTGTTCAGATATACATCCCATGATGTCCTCAATGCTTAGTGTTCAGATATACATCTCATGATGTCCTCAATGCTTAGTGGTCAGATATACATCTCATGATGTCCTCAATGCCTAGTGTTCAGATATACATCCCATGATGTCCTCAATGCTTAGTGTTCAGATATATATCCCATGATGTCCTCAATGCTTAGTGTTCAGATATACATCTCATGATGTCCTCAATGCTTAGTGTTCAGATATACATCTCATGATGTCCTCAATGCTTAGTGTTCAGATATACATCTCATGATGTCCTCAATGCTTAGTGTTCAGATATACATCCCATGATGTCCTCAATGCTTAGTGTTCAGATATACATCCCATGATGTCCTCAATGCTTAGTGTTCAGATATACATCCCATGTTGTCCTCAATGCCTAGTGTTCAGATATACATCTCATGATGTCCTCAATGCTTAGTGGTCAGATATACATCTCATGATGTCCTCAATGCTTAGTGTTCAGATATACATCTCATGATGTCCTCAATTAAACACAGACAGTGGCAGAACTTCAGTGTTAGTATTATTAGATCTCAGAGCTGCGTTTGACACTGTTGACCACAGCATATTACTTGACCGACTGGAAAACTGGGTGGGACTTTCGGAAACAGTTCTAAATTGGTTTGAATCCTACTTAAAGGACAGAAACAACTTTGTTTCTATAGGTACATACACATCTGACAAATATGACATGTGGGGTTCCTCAAGGCTCCATCTTGGGGCCTCTTCTCTTTAACATCTACATGCTACCACTGGCTCAGATAATGAAAAACAACTAAATAAGTTACCATAGCTATGCAGATGACACACACATTTACGTAACCATTTCACCAGGAGACTATGCTCCAATTCAAACACTGAGTAAGTGCATTGAACAAATCAATGACTGGATGTGTCAGAACTTTCTCCAATTAAACAAAGATAAAACTGAGGTAATGGTTTTTGGAGCCAAGTCAGAACGTATAAAAGTTAGCGCTGAGCTTCAGTCTGCAATGTTCAAAACAACAGATAGAGCCAGAAATCTAGGTGTAGTCATGGACTCTGACCTGAGTTTCAACAGTCACATTAAAACAGTTACTAAATCAGCCTACTATCACCTACAGAACATATCTAGGATTAAAAGACTAATGTCACAGCAGGATCTGGAGAAACGTGTCCATGCTTTTATCTTCAGTAGACTGGACTACTGCAATGGTGTCTTCACAGGTCTCACTAAAACATCTATTAGGAAGCTGCATCTGATTCAGAACGCCGCTGCTCGAGTCCTCACTAACACTAAGAAAGTGGATCACATCACTCCTGTTCTGAAGTCTTTACACTGGCTTCCTGTGTGTCAAAGAATAGATTTCTAAATACTGCTGCTGGTTTATAAAGCACTGAATGGTTTAGTCCCAAAATACATTTCTGACCTCCTGCTAAATGATGAAGCATCCAGATCTCTCAGGTCTTCAGGGACTGGTCAGCTTTCTGTCCCCAGAGTCAGAACTAAACATGGAGAAGCAGCGTTCAGTTATTATGCTCCAAATATCTGGAACAAGCTCCCAGAAACCTGCAGGTCCGCTGCAACTCTGACTACTTTCAAATCCAGCAAGAAGACTTTTCTTTTTGTCGCTGCTTTTAATTGAACTATTCATATCTTAGACTGCACTGTAACTTTTATCCATGTATTTTTCTTTTAATGTTTATTTTATTAGTTTTTATTTTTAATGCTTAATGTCTTTCATTTTTTGTAAAGCACTTTGAATTGCCTTGTGTTGAAAAGTGCTATATAAATAAACTTGCCTTGCCTCAATGCCTAGTGTTCAGATATACATCTCATGATGTCCTCAATGCCTAGAATATTATGAATTTATCCAACAATACATTTGGTTTAAAATATTTACATTATTTCATTCTTTCACTTAATCACATGAGAGAATATTAATATGTATGTGTCATCAAACTGAGACTAAGTGCAGCAGCACATTCCTGAACAGACGTCAGGGTTGGTGGTCAACGTCAACAGGCAGACAGGTTAAATATCTAGAAGTAAAGACAGAAATATTCCCTCACAGTAGTAATATTCTACCTATTGATTCCTTTTTCTACAATATTTAAAAGTTAAACACTGAAATAATATTTTAATTATTATATTTAAAATCCAATAAATAATATCTGAGACATTTTAAGTCTTTATTTTTAATAATTTAAAAACTAACAAACAAACATAAGCAGAGCAAATCATTTTATTAATACACAAATAACATTTTATTTCATAAATGTTCTGATTAGCTCTGTTGTGATTGGTCAACATCTTAGAGAAGTCCCGCCCCTTAGCCTATCACGTTCAGAGTGTTGGAGCGCCGGCCAATAGGAGCGTGTTATTTGATGTTCTTCAGGATGAGAGGGATGGTCTCTCTGGCGTCTCTAAGCTCCTCCCTCCACTCCTCTGGGACTCCGCCCCCTCTGAATGCCCCCCCCGCCCCCAGCAGAGCACCCAATGCCGCGCCTCGATTACAGTTCTCACCTGGAGGGACAAACACAGGTAAGAGACACGAACAGGTAAGAGACACAAACACAGGTGATGCATTATAGATTAAATATGATATATATTAAAGAGAGCTGAGACCTCCACAGTTGGTGTTGGTGAGGATTCCTGCTGCCGCGTCGTCGTGGAACTCAAGAGCCAAATAGAAGAGACTGGAGAGAGCGCCTGCAATACACAGAGGGAATATACAATTGTATATGTATATATATATATTAGGGCTGTCAAACGATTAAAAATTGTAATCAGATTAATCACAGCTTAAAAATTAATTAATCATGATTAATCACCATTCGAACTATGTCCAAAATATGCCATTTATTTATGTATATTGTTGTGGGAATGGAAAGATAAATGAAAGAAGGCGGATATATATATCAGTCATTTTGTACCTTAAAAAGCATTTAAATACCGCATTTAAAATCTGATGAACTCAGTGTGCATCTGGACCCGGTAACGACATTACCTATTGACGCAGCAATCACTGTAAGTTATATTCTTGTTTAATTAGACTTCTCTGTTTCATTTATTCGACTCTGTATAAATTGTTATTGTAGCGTAAACGGCTAAATCGCGTTTGAGAGATTTTAAATCTCAGATCTGCTCAGGCGAAACCTGCTTTACAGGTCTCAGCACTCAAGCCTGCATTAATATAGGCACGGCCAGTCTATTGTCGCCCATCAGCTGTAGATAGTTAACTAATTAGAGGGCCGTGGCCCTACAGCTGTGTGAACTGAGCTATCAGGCGTCCATTTTGGGTAGCTCTTTCCTGGAGCGTCAGCTTCAGCGTCAGACAGGCTAAGACTGACAAAGACATTGGAGTCCTGCGGGAGTAAGACTGACAAAGACATTGGAGTCCTGCGGGAGTCACGAGGGAGGCAAAGAGGAGGCAATATCCTACTCTGATTGAGCTAAGTATCGTTGGTGTCTTATTTATCTTTTCTTTAGTTTTCTAGCCCCTCATGCTATAATCATGTGTATTTTCTCTATTCCTGTTCATGTGTCTTCTCGCAATTATCACTGGCCCCGTGTATCTCCTAATCGATATAACCGGCCTGCTCTCGTCTATCCCACGTGCTCCACTGAGATCCAACATCTAGTTTCTGGCGGCCTGTGGAACTGCCAGTCAGCTGTTCCTAAGGCTGACTTCATCTCTGGCTACGCCTCCCTGCAGCCTCTGGATTTCCTTGCTCTCACTGAGACCTGGATTACTCCATCCAACACATCCACCCCAGCAGCTCTCTCCACTGCATATTCCTTCTCCCATACACCCAGACCCACTGGCAGAGGAGGTGGCACTGGTCTCCTGCTCTCTCCCAAATGGAGCTTTTCCCTCTTCAAGCTACCTAACTTCACTCCTTCCACCTTTGAGTTCCATGCCGTCACAGTAACCCATCCTATACAGTTAACCATTGTTGTTCTCTACCGTCCACCAGGCGCCTTGGGGGACTTCTTGGAGGAATTAGATCATCTCCTCTCACTCATCCCTGAAACTGGCCCTCCCGCTGTACTTCTCGGAGACTTCAACCTCCAGACGGGGAAGATAGACGAACTAACATCTCTGTTAACCGCCTTTGCTTTCTCACTGTCTCCGTCCCCACCGACTCATAAAGCTGGCAATGTCCTTGATCTCATATTCTCAAGGAACTGCGCTACTTCTAACCTCTCTGTAAACCCGCTCCACACATCCGATCACTTCTTCATTTCATTCTCTCTATCCCTTTCCAAACATAACAAACTAATCTCTTCCCATCCTGCACTTGTCCGCCGTAACCTTCGCTCCCTCTCCCCCTCTACCTTTGCCTCATCGGTGCTCTCAGCCCTCCCTTCCTCTGACTCGTTCCAACTCCTGCCACCAAACTCTGCTGCAGAAACTCTCCTCTCTACTCTCTCATCCACTCTGGACTCGCTCTGTCCTCTCACATCTCGGCAGGCTCGTCAGTCCCCTCCTGCTCCCTGGCTAAATGACGCACTGCGTGCTAATAGAACCGTCCTTAGGGCAGCAGAGCGGAAATGGTGGAAATCCAAACACCGTGACGACCTCCTAACCTATCAAGCTCTCCTCTCCTCTTTCTCTGCTTCGATCTCTCAGGCAAAAAGCACTTTCTTTCAAGATAAGATCCAATCTTCCTATTCCAATCCTAAAAAACTATTTTCCATCTTCTCCACCCTCTTGGACCCTCCCAAAGCCCCTTCCCCCTCCTCCCTCCTGGACCCCCCCAAAGCCCCTTCCCCCTCCACCCTCTTGGACCCTCCAAAAGCTCCTCCCCCCTCCACCCTCCTGGACCCCCCCAAAACCCTATTTTCCATCTTCTCCTCCCTCTTGGACCCTCCAAAAGCTCCTCCCCCCTCCTCACTTCTGTCAAGCGACTTTGTTACCCACTTTGAAAAAAAGGTTGATGATATTCGCTCTTCTTTTTCTGACTCACCTTTACTCACCGCTGGGTCACCAGACCCTCCTTCCACCAACACACTAACCTCCTTTTCCCCTCTCTCTCCAAGTGAGGTTCTTACCCTCATTACCTCTGCCCGCCCTACCACCTGTCCTCTGGACCCTATCCCTTCAAACCTCCTTCAGACTATCGCTCCTGATATTCTACCGTTTCTCACCCATTTCATCAACACTTCTCTAACTTCTGGTCACTTTCCAAACAGTCTCAAGGAGGCAAGAGTAAACCCTCTCCTAAAGAAACCCACTCTCAACCCGTCTGATGTTATAAACTACAGGCCTGTCTCTCTCCTCCCGTTCCTGTCTAAATCACTTGAACGCGCTGTCTTTAAACAACTCTCATGTTATCTCCATCAGAACAACCTTCTGGATCCGCACCAGTCTGGTTTCAAGGCAGGTTACTCCACAGAAACTGCTCTCCTTGCTGTCACGGAGGAACTGCACACTGCCAAAACTGCATCCCTCTCCTCTGTCATCATCCTGTTGGACCTGTCTGCTGCATTCGACACGGTGAATCATCAGATCCTCCTTCGCACTCTCCAAAAACTTGGAGTTTCAGGCTCTGCACTTTCCCTCCTCACCTCATACCTGAAAGACCGTACCTACAGGGTGACTTGGAGAGGGTCTGAGTCCGACCCTTGTCAATTAACTACGGGGGTCCCTCAGGGCTCTGTTCTTGGTCCCCTCCTCTTCTCCCTGTACACAAACTCGCTCGGATCAGTCATTAGCCCGCATGGTTTTTCTTACCACTGCTACGCTGACGACACCCAATTAATTCTGTCCTTTCCCCGCTCAGAGACCCAGGTCGTCGCACGCATCTCTGCTTGTCTAGCTGACATCTCTCAGTGGATGTCTGCTCACCACCTCAAGCTCAACCTTGACAAGACTGAGCTGCTCTTCCTCCCGGGAAAAGATTGTCCAACTCTTGACCTAACAATCAACATCGGCACCTCAGTTGTTTCCCCGACTCAGACTGCAAGGAATCTGGGTGTGACCCTAGATAACAACCTGTCCTTCACTGCAAACATCGCTGCTACAACCCGTTGCTGCAGATACACGCTTTACAACATCAGGAAGATACGTCCCCAGCTGACTCAGAAAGCGACTCAGGTTCTGGTCCAGGCTCTCGTCATCTCACGCCTAGACTACTGCAACTCCCTCCTGGCTGGTCTACCTGCATGTGCCATCCGACCTCTGCAGCTCATCCAGAATGCAGCGGCTCGTCTGGTCTTCAACCTTCCTAAATTCTCCCACACCACTCCGCTCCTCCGCTCCCTTCACTGGCTTCCGGTAACTGCTAGAATCCACTTCAAGACACTGGTATTTGCTTTACCATGCTGCGAATGGATCTGGCCCTTCCTACATCCAGGACATGGTTAAACCGTACACCCCAGCGCGTGCACTACGCTCTGCATCAGCCAAACGACTCGTTGCACCCTCGCTGCGAGGGGGACCCAAGTTCCCATCGGCGAAAACACGTGGGTTTGCTGTCCTGGCTCCAAGATGGTGGAATGAGCTCCCCATTGACATCAGGACGGCAGATAGCTTACACACCTTCCAGACTGAAAACGCATCTCTTTCGACTCCACTTCGAGCGTTAGAACTATTAACGAAGCACTTTTATACTAATAAAGGGCTGGCTTATCTAAAGCCAGTTGAGTAGCACTTGAAATGTTTGGCTCTATGAAACCTGATGTACTTTATGATTCTGTTTTCTTCAAGGTTGTGTCTTCCTGGTCGAATGCACTTATTGTAAGTCGCTTTGGATAAAAGCGTCAGCTAAATGCAATGTAATGTAATGTAATATATCCATTTAACATACAGTAACTATGTTTATTATAACATGTTTCTGCCTGTCAAAATGAAAGACAACCCACACACCTATCAATCATCAAACCGTGGGGTCTTAATTCATTACGTGTTGATTTCTATCAACGGGGGAGTACTTCAGGAAAGTCGACAGAGGGGGGGGGCTAGTGGAGTACTTCGTGACCATAGAGTGTGAACGTTGTGATCAGCTGTTTTAGCGCAGTTCTCCAGTGAAGGGGGGGAGTCTCCCTCCGCAGCCGGTTGGCGTAGTTTTGGCACAATTCCGTTGTACAGACCGACGTTAACAGCAGCCCTGTCTGTGCACACGGAGACCGACTCTGTCGTCCGGTGATCTAACCGCCTTCTGGAAAAGCTTCACAAGTACGTCGGTACGCAAATGCGCTTTGTGACACAAGTGACGGTACGCATTTCAGATTACGCACATAACCTACGTACCAGTTATGTGCACCCCTGTACTACAGCAAAAGTATTCTCCGTCGGGACTTCCTGCAACAACACCACGCCATTATCAAAGATGTTCTATTGAGAAGACGATCACTACGTGACAAAAGTTTTCAAAACCGTGGCTACTGAAATCAATCTTACTAACTGCTGTCTGTGCAATTTACTCCGCGAGTTGGCAGACTTTATTTTGCTTACTTTAACATTTTTGGCATGGTGGGGCTAAGCCATTTCTTGGTATGGGTGTAGCCTACCCCAGCCATACCCTGGCGCTGCCACTGGTGGCACGTATGGGGCGGGCCATTCTGCACATGCGTTAAATGCGTTAAATATTTTAACGCAATTAATTCAAAAAATTAATTACCGCCGTTAACGCGATAATTTTGACAGCACTAATATATATATATATATATATATATATATATATACAGTGGGGCAAACAAGTATTTAGTCAGCCACCAATTGTGCAAGTTCTCCCACTTAAAAAGATGAGAGGCCTGTAATGTTCATCCTAGCTACACCTCAACTATGAGAGACAGAATGGGGGCAAAGAATCCAGTTAATCACATTGTAGGATTTTTAAAGAATTTATTTGCAAATGATGGTGGAAAATAAGTATTTGGTCAATAACAAAAGTTCATCTCAATACTTGGTTATATACCCTTTGTTGGCAATGACAGAGGTGAAACGTTTTCTGTAAGTCTTCACAAGGTGTTCACACACTGTTGCTGGTGTTTTGGCCCATTCCTCCATGCAGATCTGAGGTTACCTACTGTAACCCAGCTTCTTTGAGTAAATGGCGCAGCCCTCTAAGGCTATCGCTATTGGGTAATCCCTCTGCGCCCCCGCGCAGCACTGAAACACTTGTAGTCCACGCCCACCCGCTAGGTGGGCCCCACCCTCGGGCTTCCTTCCGGTATAAATAGGAAGGGGGCCCGGCAATCTGCTCCCATACAAAATAACTTTTCTTCAGCTATTCGTAGAGCCAGTGGGGCCCAGTGCTTAGAGGGCTGCGCCATCTACTCATAGAAGCTGGGTTACAGTAGGTAACCTCAGTTCTATTTCGTATATGGCTTCGCCCTCTAAGGCTATCGCTATTGGGTTAAGGGCGAAGCATGATGTAGTCTGCGCCCCACTGGGTCCGTCCAGCACTAGAAGCACAGACACACCTGCACAATAACACACCCCTGCCTGTTGTGCCATGCGTAATGGCGCATCACCATCCGTGGAACATAGCAAAACATGCCTATCTTCCCGACGGGGTGAAGGCTGGGAACAATACATACCGACCGCTGTGAGAAAGTAGAGACGAAGGTCCCACCTTGCCCAGCGATCATAGAGGGGGAACAGCAGCTCTCTCCGTGTCAGCCAGGCCGCTCAGCTGGATCCCTGACGTCACTCACTCTGACCAGGCACTCCGTACGAAGTGTGTCAGAGTAAAGGGAACATCCCTCTCATACGAGGGGAAAAGGGCCGCTCTCTGTGTGCCGAGAGGCAGGAGAGAGGCGCACAGCTGGATCCCTGACGTCACTCACTCCGACAGGACACCCAGTACAGGGTGCGTCAGAGAGGAAAGGGAGACATCCCTCAAATAAAATTGAATAAATGAACAGGGGGAAGACCTGACGACGAGCCACGCCAGAGCCCTCGCCGCCGCTGCCCGTGAGGCAACCCAAGGTGGGCCTAGAGCGAAAGGGCTGTGAGGAGGCCTCCACACGCTGCATTTCACTCCGCCTCATCATGAGGCGCGTACACGCTCAGAGGATGGGTGGAGGTGTGTGCAGTGACATCCACATGAGGCGTTACCACGGCGCTCATGGGCTTATTGTGACCGTGTGTAGGTGGCGTATCTCGGACAGAGGAATGCCGCGAGGTCTGTGGTTTAATAACCGAAAAGTCATAACCACCAGGCCTCTGCAGCGAACCATGCTGCCTACTAATCAACAGATTGGAGGCAGCTGGTGTAGTTACTGTGCTCCGCAGCTTATTAATCGATAGATTAAATAGCGCAGGCTTTTGTAACGAACCCTGCTGGCTATTAACCGATAGGTCATAGGCAGCTGGTTCACCCAGGGTGGGGGATATGTGAAACACATTTGTAACTGATGACTCAGACCACATGTTGGGAAATAATCTTTTTTTATTTCACTCGCACTCCCCCCCCAAACCGTCAAAGCCGGCTCTGTTTTTCCGGCGGCTCTCGTGGAGCAGACGCCGAACGGGAGTACCTCACTCCCTTCTTACCCCCCTTCTCTGGTGGGGGGCCAGAGGTGCGGGACGGTGCCCCGGAGGCGCGGGACGGTGCCCCAGCCGCCGCTGATGGACGAGTCTGACGCCTCGGCTGTTGTTGCTGCGAGTGTCTGTCTGTCTGCCGCTGTGGCAGGGTTGGCTGCTGCTGCTGCCGCTGGTGCCGCTGCTGCTTCACCGCTGGCTGGAGCCAGCCGACGTGCTGGCGGATGTCCTCCGCTTGCTCCGATGCCGCCTTCATGGACTCAACCATGGCCAGGAACTGGGGTCCGAACAGCTCGTCCGAGCTGATCGGAGCGTCCAGCAAAACCTTCCTGGCTGGCTCTGTAACCGCTGCTTGTTGCAACCAGAGGTGGCGCTGGATCTGAGTCATCCAGGCTGTGATCCTTGCCTGGGAGACCGCCACGGCTGCGCACAGCATGAGTGCCGTGCTGGCCGCCTTAGCGATCTCTTCCGCCTCCTCTGGAGCCATGGTGGTGGACCGTTCGACCAACGTCACCACCGAGTTGGTCAGCAACGCGATGTTATTCGCTGCTGCAGACGCCTGGAACGCACACTGGTGCGCCCGGTCAGCCTGGCGGGCGACATACTGGTCCTTGGGGGCGGCCAACATAGGGCGCCGTCCGGCGACCAAGTTGGCCTGCCTAATCCCGAAGAACGCCGTTAAGCTCGGTTCCAGAGCGGGGGTGGTTGGAAAAACCTCGTCTGTGAACCCCTCCACCTTAGTGAAGGGGACAAAGGTGGCCACCAGAGCTCTTAAGGTCCTCGGGTTCGCCGCTGCCCCTTCCTGGTATCGCCTAATGGCGGGGAAGCGCGGCCAGATCGGGTCACTCCTGCCCTTCTGAACCCGGGAAAACACTCCGGCCATGTCATCCAGAGCCACCCTCTGCCGTCCTCGGGGAACGGGGAAACCTCTGCATGCTGCTGCTTTGCCGATTATTTCCGGCAGCTCCAGCATAATGCCACCCAACGCCGGTAGCGCCGTGGCCACGGAGATGGGGACCACGTGCTCGGCCGCCACCTCTGACTCTCGCTCCGACCCCGTCTCCCCCGTCCGGGGAAGAGGGGGGAGGGGAGAGCCGCATGGCGAGCCATGGAGGGAGACGGGGTAGGAGTCGTCCGACTCCTGCCCCCCACTCGCCTCCAGAAACAGGCTGTTGTCCCTGTTCTGGATGGGCCAGTCGTCTTCCTCACCCGCAGCAGCTAGAGCGTCCGCCCTTCGCTTCCTGTCGGATGATGGGAGACGAACACAATGTGAACATGCGATCTGCTGGCTGAGAGCCGCGTCCGCGTGCTCTGGCCCCAGGCAGGATGCGCATATTGGGTGCAAATCGTAGCTCATGATGTATCCCGTATTGCACGAAGGACACATGCGGACACAATCATTGCTGCTCATGATTCGATCTTCTTGTGCTTCAGTACTGCTGGTTGCTGAAGAAAAGAGGGAGCAGATTGCCGGGCACCCTTCCTATTTATACCGGCAGGAGGCCCGAGGGTGGGGCCCACCTGGCGGGTGGGCGTGGACTACAAGTGTTTCAGTGCTGCGCGGGGGCGCAGAGGGATAACCCAATAGCGATAGCCTTAGAGGGCGAAGCCATATACGAAATAGAACTCCTCTAGAGCAGTGATGTTTTGGGGCTGTCGCTGGGCAACACGGACTTTCAACTCCCTCCAAAGATTTTCTATGGGGTTGAGATCTGGAGACTGGCTAGGCCACTCCAGGACCTTGAAATGCTTCTTACGAAGCCACTCCTTCGTTGCCCGGGCGGTGTGTTTGGGATCATTGTCATGCTGAAAGACCCAGCCACGTTTCATCTTCAATGCCCTTGCTGATGGAAGGAGGTTGTCACTCAAAATCTCACGATACATGGCCCCATTCATTCTTTCCTTTACACGGATCAGTGGTCCTGGTCCCTTTGCAGAAACACAGCCCCAAAGCATGATGTTTCCACCCCCATGTTTCACAGTAGGTGTTCTTTGGATGCAACTCAGCATTCTTTCTCCTCCAAACACGTCTAGTTGAGTTTTTACCAGAAAGTTCTATTTTGGTTTCATCTGACCATATCACATTCTCCCAATCCTCTTCTGGATCATCTAAATGCTCTCTAGCAAACTTCAGACGGGCCTGGACATGTACTGGCTTAAGCAGGGGGACACGTCTGGCACTGCAGGATTTTAGTCCCTGGCGGCGTAGTGTGTTACTGATGGTAGCCTTTGTTACTTTGGTCCCAGCTCTCTGCAGGTCATTGACTAGGTCCCCCCGTGTGGTTCTGGGATCTTTGCTCACCGTTCTTGTGATCATTCTGACCCCACGGGGTGAGATCTTGCGTGGAGCCCCAGATCGAGGGAGATTATCAGTGGTCTTGTATGTCTTCCATTTTCTAATAATTGCTCCCACAGTTGATTTCTTCACACCAAGCTGCTTACCTATTGCAGATTCAGTCTTCCCAGCCTGGTGCAGGTCTACCATTTAGTTTCTGGTGTCCTTTGACAGCTCTTTGGTCTTGGCCATAGTGGAGTTTGGAGTGTGACTGTTAGAGGTTGTGGACAGGTGTCTTTTATACTGATAACGAGTTCAAACAGGTGCCATTAATACAGTTAACGAGTGGAGGACAGAGGAGGCTCTTAAAGAAGAAGTTACAGGTCTGTAAGAGCCAGAAATCTTGTTTGTTTGTAGGTGACCAAATACTTATTTTACTGAGGAATTTACCAATTCATTCATTAAAAATCCTACAATGTGATTTCCTGGATTCTTTCCCCCCATTCTGTCTCTCATAGTTGAAGTGTACCTAGGATGGACATTACAGGCCTCTCATCTTTTTAAGTGGGAGAACTTTAAAAAAAAAAAATGTATATATATATATGTATATATTAATAATAATAATAATAACAGTAATGTACCTTTGGTGTAGCAGGCGAGTCCCAGCTGATTAACAGCACTCTGATGAACCTGGAGACGCTGATCCGACCCAGCAGGGAACCTGACACACAAATAAATACAATAAAATAAATAAATAAATAAAATAAGATAATGATAATGATAATAATAATGATAGTATATCCACCTTGCTGCCTTGCTGCTGAACCCCCGGCAGGCGTCCCAGGCCTTGAGGCTCTTCAGAGCGCGCTCCGCCTCCCCCCGGACGCTCGCCCCCCCCAGCACCCTGTGGAGCGCCCCGCCGTACAGAGACACCCAGAGGGGAACCCTGGGGTGGGGGTGGGTCAGCTTCACCATCTCCACCGCACCTTGCACCTGGGGGGGGGGAGGGTGATGACACTCAAAAATCTGTCTTATATTCGGGTCGATACGGTACATTTTCGTATGAAGGCAGTCTCACCGCCTGCTCCAGAGGGGCGTGTGCTGCCAGCAGGATGAAGGGGAGGATCATGGGTAAACAGCCAATGGCGTCCAGCTGGGCGTCGGGCCGCGCCTCCCTCAGAGCGCGAACGCTACGCCGCTCCGCAAACTCCAACAGCTGGGAGACAACGGGACAAACACAACGAATAATACAACGGGACAAACACAACGAATAATACAACGGGACAGACACAACGAATAATACAACGGGACAAACACAACGAATAATACAACGGGACAAACACAACGAATAACACAACGGGACAAACACAACGAATAATACAACGGGACAGACACAACGAATAATACAACGGGACAGACACAACGAATAATACAACGGGACAGACACAACGAATAATACAACGGGACAGACACAACGAATAATACAACGGGACAAACACAACGAATAATACAACGGGACAGACACAACGAATAATACAACGGGACAGACGCAACGAATAACACAACGGGACAGACGCAACGAATAATACAACGGGACAAACACAACGAATAATACAACGGGACAGACACAACGAATAACACAACGGGACAAACACAGCGAATAATACAACGGGACAGACACAACGAATAATACAACGGGACAGACACAACGAATAACACAACGGGACAAACACAACGAATAATACAACGGGACAGACGCAACGAATAATACAACGGGACAGACACAACGAATAATACAACGGGACAGACACAACGAATAATACAACGGGACAGACACAACGAATAATACAACGGGACAGACACAACGAATAACACAACGGGACAGACGCAACGAATAATACAACGGGACAGACGCAACGAATAATACAACGGGACAGACGCAACGAATAATACAACGGGACAGACACAACGAATAATACAACGGGACAAACACAACGAATAATACAACGGGACAGACGCAACGAATAATACAACGGGACAGACGCAACGAATAATACAACGGGACAGACGCAACGAATAATACAACGGGACAGACACAACGAATAATACAACGGGACAGACACAACGAATAATACAACGGGACAGACACAACGAATAATACAACGGGACAAACACAACGAATAATACAACGGGACAGACACAACGAATAATACAACGGGACAGACACAACGAATAATACAACGGGACAGACACAACGAATAATACAACGGGACAGACACAACGAATAATACAACGGGACAGACACAACGAATAATACAACGGGACAAACACAACTTTAAAAGTAAAATGATAAAAATACGTTAATAAAACAGAGAGACCTGCAGGTGTCCGTGGTGGGTGTGCATGTTTTAGCTTTACCTGACAGGTGCGTTACTACAGGTGCGTTAGATCTACCTACAGGTGCGTTACTACAGGTGTGTTAGATCTACCTACAGGTGTGTTAGATCTACCTACAGGTGCGTTACTACAGGTGCGTTACAGGTGTGTTAGATCTACCTACAGGTGCGTTACAGGTGCGTTAGATCTACCTACAGGTGTGTTAGATCTACCTACAGGTGTGTTAGATCTACCTACAGGTGCGTTACAGGTGTGTTAGATCTACCTACAGGTGCGTTACAGGTGCGTTAGATCTACCTACAGGTGCGTTACAGGTGTGTTAGATCTACCTACAGGTGCGTTACAGGTGTGTTAGATCTACCTACAGGTGTGTTAGATCTACCTACAGGTGTGTTACAGGTGTGTTAGATCTACCTACAGGTGTGTTAGATCTACCTACAGGTGCGTTACAGGTGTGTTAGATCTACCTACAGGTGTGTTACAGGTGTGTTAGATCTACCTACAGGTGTGTTAGATCTACCTACAGGTGCGTTACAGGTGTGTTAGATCTAGCTACAGGTGTGTTAGATCTACCTACAGGTGTGTTAGATCTACCTACAGGTGCGTTACAGGTGCGTTAGATCTACCTACAGGTGCGTTACAGGTGTGTTAGATCTACCTACAGGTGTGTTACAGGTGTGTTAGATCTACCTACAGGTGTGTTACAGGTGTGTTAGATCTACCTACAGGTGTGTTAGATCTACCTACAGGTGCGTTACAGGTGTGTTAGATCTAGCTACAGGTGTGTTAGATCTACCTACAGGTGTGTTAGATCTACCTACAGGTGCGTTGTCTCACCTGTTGTGGCTCAGTGGGCCTTTCGTCCTGCCAGCACAGAAG